CCCTTCCATAACGGAGGTTGTCAAGTGAATTCACCAGGCCGCAGGTTTTCAAACTGGTGCTTCATCATCAGTTGCCACGGGAGGATGGCAGTGCTGCTGATTGCAGCCTGCCCCCTGCGCTTTCCCCACACTGCAGCCTGAGCTAAGTTTTCTTGGGCTGTACCTGCCCTACGCAAGCCGCGTGGATCCTGTGTCAGAGTGATGCTGGGTTTTGTTCCATTCTGAAACGCGGGGTTTTCTGTTTTCCAGGTTGTGTGTGTCTTATAAAGAGCGTAAATCTCCACAGTAATCATACGCGACGTACTCTCCCCAAGTCCCTCTGAACTGCGTCCCTCTGCTTGTGCCTTACAGGGTATTTTTTTCCCCTACATCTTTCTCCCGTCCGATGGGCTTTGTCTCAGGCAATGGGGTTTCCATTATTTCTCTTGCGAGGCTGATCTTAAACATTCAAAGAGTTTCTTTGCTTTGTGAAGCCACCATTTTTAAATTAGCCCCAAGCTGATGAAAGACATTGATTCATGTACTCCGGGGTGGATTTCTCCTTTGTCTGGAAACCCAGTTGATGGCAAGGCCAGAGACTCACCAGTGCCCTCGATCCTCTGAAGGAGGACACTGCCTGAGCCTAACGCCTAGCTGTCCGTGCTGCAGGAGAAGGTAGCAGCCCCCCGGCAGGGGCAGCATTCCTTTCTTACCCCAGAGGCAGCAACCGATTTACCCCGTGAAGGAGAGCAGGGCTAGGGATCAACCACTAGCATCTAGGTGGTCCTGCCTTTGCTGAGACAACCGAAGGAAGGGGAGTCTTTTACGTTGCTTGGACTCACGGTGTCTCGTGAGGCTTTTTCATCCTCAAAATGTTGCGCTCTTCCCCTCCGCATGCAATTTAGCCTAGATTAATTTAGACAACGACAGCATTTCATTGAGAATTGCAGCTGGCTGATACTTGGCCACCTGAGCTAGGCCTTGGTTTTCAGCTAGCATCATGTCTCGGGGCATGGAGAATGAGTCCTTTAGGTGCCTTGCATTGAGCCTCTGCTTTCAGGCCCATTTATTCTGAAGCAGGGAAGGCAGCTGTTATAGGTACAGAGGAAAGGGGATCATGCAGGTATTTTACTTCTGTTTCAGTTTTTGACTTTCTCTTCCCTGCTGTGTGCCCAGGTGGGTGCCAGCCTCCTTCGGTGGCTGGTTGAAGTTGATTCTCAAGGGTTCTTGTTTTGCAAAATGACACGTGCATGCGGGAATTGCATTTCAGGGAGAGGAGGGGTAATGATTAGGTGAGCCTAATCCTGATATAAAGAGGCCTCTTGTTAAACAAACCGGAATGGCTTGGGGACTTGGGATCCTGGTGAGAGCAGAGAGGTATTGAGGTTTGCTCTTTAGGATGCTGGAGTTCGACCCATGGCTGACAGTAGGAGTGCGGGTAGCAATGGTGGCCAGCTTAGGACCCTTCCCATGTCCAGGTGGTGAGGGGGCTGCCTCTGTTTTCCCAGACAGACCCTGCAACTGTCGTCCATCCCTTTGCGATTGGGTGCAGCCACGTGCTGCCCACGGGGCTGCGTCTCGTGTCCACTGAGAAGCAGCAGCAGGTGGGGGATCTGTTGGCTCTCTTCCTGAGCAGTGTTTATGTCTGTGAGCACCTGCTAGCTCTGCATCGGGCACAGACCAGATCCTGGCTTCACTCTCGCATGTTGGTTTTGACTCGTAGGCAGGTCTCGGGCCATCTTTGGCACTGGCTAAGAGACACCATACCCCTGTGCATACTCCCGCAGCTACCATCCGTAGTGGCGTAGGGAAGTGGGCCACGTAACTATTTCAAGCCCAGGCCTCTGGAGCTCACTTTCTCAGCAGCTCTCATTTCACCTTCGGTATTTAGCATCTGCCTTCTGTCCTTTGCCCCGTGACTAGATGGGTGTTGACCCAGGCATGCTACAGTGCCCATAGGGTTGGTGACTGGCTGGTCGATCCCTGTTCTCACTGGATTATACAATGCGATCATTTCTCATGCCATGATGATCAAGGGCATCGCTGACATTGGAGGAGGCACCGTTTTACTGCTTGTTTCACTGAAATAAACCCGTTGTAAAGCTTCACACGGCAGGCCCCTCTTGCCTCTAGGGCTGGTCTCTCCTGGACCTGTTGCTGCTGGACACGCTATATGCTTCCATGCCCGGGGCTGACAGTATTGGCACATGTGGACAGCAGGGAGATCCACGAGATGTTCTGGGGGAGGGGTGTTGCCTCCAGGTCCATTTCCAAGATGTCCTTTCCCCAGCAAAGGGTGTTGACACCACCACGAGCAACAGGTTGGCTTCGTCTTTAATGAGAAGGGAGTAATAGGGGTGCAGCTGCACCCTTCTCCAGGCAGGGGCTGTGCCTGCCTCTGTGTGCATGTCAGGCCCTTTGGCGATTCAGATAGAGCAGACAGCAGGAAAAGACCCCTGTGAAGGCAGACCTGCTGCAATGGCTTTTCAATTGCTCTTTGAGGTCTGAAGATGCTTGCCTCTTTAGTCACCTCTACCAGCCACACTGCTCCCCATGTAGAGCTCAGGCCTTTTAGGGACAGGTTCAAAGCAGACTCTCCCACAGAGGTTTCCCTTTAGTGTGGTGCCACCTACGACCGTGTTTCAGGGTTGGTTGCAGCCGTGTTGGTCTAAGGACACAGGCAGATAAGGTTCTTTGGCCAAATGTGATATCTTTTATTAAAACAACTAAATAGTTGGAAAAAATGCTCTTTGGAAGCTTTCGGGCACAAACGCCCCTTGCAAAGAGCTGTTTGAGCCATCATCTGAAATCAGGAGCACTGCCGTAGATTAGTCTCCTGTTTCCAGTTTGGCAAGATGGGCGTTTGTGCCCGAAAGCTTGCAAATGATATTTTTTCCAATTATGTAGTTGGTCTAATAAAAGATACTACATCTACCCAAACAACCTTGTCTGCCTACTATAGCATTTGAGGGGAGGATTAACCCTGCAGTGGGCGCTTCCAGCACGCAAGTGAATTTCCAGCTCTTCATCGTACTCAAAATTATCATTCTAAACCAAGGGTTTAGACACAATAAATATCTATCAGAGGACAGAAGAGATGGAAAATGGGAGTGAGACTAAGAAAGCGAAAATCCTTGGGGTTAAGGACAGGACAAGCGGTACAGAAACTCTGGAGAAGATGTGAGATTGAAGACGGTTCCCCATATCCCGAACCCCATGATTCTAAAACCAGATGTGACAGGGAAAATCTGAGGGAATTTCAGGTTTTTGTCTGATCTTCTGAGCGCAGTTAAGTGTGAATGTGGGGAAAAGAGCAGGAAACAGCAGCGCTTATGCTTTGAGATGCGTCTCGCCAAATTGGAAATAAGAGACTGATCTCCTAAGGCAGCATTCTTGGTTTCAGATGAGGGCTCAAAACAGCTGTTCTATGGAAGGAATAAGCATAGGTAATTTTAGATTAAATCAAGGATTTTTTTTAATTGCCATCAATACACATGTTTTATAGATACTTAGAAACTGCCTGGTAGAGCTACATGTTTTCTCAGTGCACGATCTGCTGATCTGATGTACTAATTGGGGTGGAGAGCAGGAATATGGGGTTTCGGTGATCACTTAAGTATAATTTTATCTTCTGGAGGACGAAATGCTGTCTTGTGAACTGACTTAACCATCAGGTTGGGGTTCTTCTTTAAAACCCGTATGGATTTTAGAATGTAAATGGTCTTTATTTGACTGGGGACATCAGTCTAGGGCCCAGTCTGGTTTGGTTGTTTATGGTGTCATCTTGAATAGAGTCTCTCTCTATCTTCTGGGTTATTTCTGGATGGTTGTTAAGTTACAAGGTAGATACGTGGGTGTTTCTTAAATAAGTAAAACAGATTAACAATTGTTAGGGGTCCAGAACCGGGGTATGTGGGATTAGTGGTAGCTCTCACCATAGGAAACCCAACATGCCTGGCTGGCCGGAGTGTGACAGGCAGTTTCACGGTAGGGGGAATATTAACGTGGACGTTTGCTTTGCAGGGAGGATGGAGAGCTGGAAGAGGGGGAGCTGGAGGACGATGGAGGTGAGGAGGTGCAGGATGCGGCCGAGCCGCACGAGAGGGGGCGGAAGGAGAAGTCGGAGAAGCACCACAGTGACTCGGACGACGAGAAGGCTCATCGGCGCATGAAGCGCAAGCGGAGGAAGGAGCGCGAGAAAGAGAAGAGGAGAGCTAAAAAGAAAAGGAAATCCAAGCACAAGGTGGGTCCCGTGATGGGCTGGCGGCGAGCGCACCCCACGGTCCTTGTAGCTGCCCCAGCCAGAGCAGCACCAGTGAATTCGTCCTGGTGAAGTTCCTGGTTTGTGTGGACTCTTCCACAGGGTTCGCAGGTGCTTTCTGATTGCAGCGGTTAAAATTCAGAAGAACTGTTGGGGTTTTGAAAGCCGATATCTGAGTTACTTTAAAAAAGACTCGTTCCCAAAAAGCCAGGCTCCTGGCAGGGGAGCTTCAGCTGGGCCAGTCTGGGCTTAACCTGTGCGTTGTGTCTGCTTTGCAGCGCCATGCATCTTCCAGCGATGACTTCTCCGACTACAGCGAGGACTCTGACTTCAGTCCCAGCGAGAAGGGGCACAGGAAGTATCGGGAGTACAGCCCTCCCTATTCTTCTGTAAGTACCTGCTGGCAGCAGGAAGGAAACCCTGCTCTGTCCTGTGCTGGGCTCAAGGCTTTGGCCACGAGGCCCTGTCTGGCTCCATCTAGAGGTGGATGGCCAGGTTCACCTGTGCCTGGCTGTGGTTCATTGCTGAGCCTGCTCTGCTCCTCTGCCTTTTTTTTCCCTATGGTTTTTTTAAAAATCCTGATATCAGGCGGTCTCCTTCTCCCTCACCGGCGAGAGTGAAATAGCCACTTCCTGATGGAGAGAAGGGACAAGCAGAGGGAAATGAGCTGTGAAATAAGCAAGGAGATAATGGCTGGGTTGCTATTCCATCTGCGCAACAGAGCCTGCTGGCTGAGTTGGGGGCCCAGCACAGAGCCCAGGAGTCCCACCAATTCCCTGTTTAGGGGGTTCATATCCCAGGCTGTTCTTCTCTGCAGGAATTAGGGAAGTGACCCCTGTTTGATGGCACTGCTGCCCCCTTGTAATAGCCTTGCGCACTCTCCAAGCAGAGGTTGTTGGTGTGTCCAGAGAGTGCTGGGGAGGCTGCTGGGCACAGTTTGCCTGGCAGGGTGTGTGGAGGCTGCAGTCTTTGCAGGTTGTGGAGGGGAGTGTGCTGTAGTAGGGCCTGCTCGGGGATCGTACATTGTGATCAGCCTAGGAGGGATCGTTCTTTAGGCCTGACCCTGTCTCTCTGTCTGTTTTACTTTCTCAAGTCCCACCAGCAGTACCAGTCCTCTCATGGCACTCCCATGCCAAAAAAGAGCTACTCCAAGATGGAGAGCAAGAGTTACGGCATGTATGAGGACTACGAGAACGAGGGCTACGGCGAGTACGAGGGGGAGGAGGACGAGGACATGGGGAAGGAAGACTACGATGACTTCACAAAGGAGCTGAACCAGTACCGGCGGGCAAAGGAGGGGTCGCATAGGGGGCGAGGTACAGCTGCCCAGCCAGCGCGCACCCTGTGTCCGCAGCTCGGCTGCTTATTGAGTCTGATAGTCACCTGCCATGGGGGGGGTCCCAATCCTGCTGCAACTGGGTGCATTCAGGTGGGCCGTTGCACCCCAGGGACTGCAAGGTCCTGCTTGCAAGCAGAGAGCTGCAAGGTCTGGGCCTTATCAGTGTTGCAGAGAAAAGTCCGTTTTTTCACGTGAGAAGAGTCAGATCCCACTTCTGTAGCTTACAATTTTAAACGCACATTCTTCCTTCTCTGTTTAGATTGATTTAAAAATACTGGCGAGGGTGAAAACAATAAAGTCAAACCTTTATCAGCCAAGACAAGAGAAATCAGCTGGTAATGTAACAGGCCTGATTTCATCTTGTTAAGCTACGTTCAGCATTTCTTCTGAAACCCAGTGTGCCACCAGTCCAACACAGAGAATGAAACACATGCAGCTACTGCCCTGCCTTCACAATAGCTACTTGGAAGTGTTTATATCTTGGCCACTTTAAATCAATTGCTGCAGACTGTTAACAAACCCCTGGCTTGCTTAAGCTTACTTAGCACTGAGAGTTTGTTCTTTCTGGATTTTTTATTAAGTCTCAGCTTTGTTACTCAACACCACTCCCTGATTTAAAGGACGCTGCTTCAGACTCTGTGTCCAAAATAGGGTATCAGATGGGGTTTACAAGGGAGCAAACAGCCTTAGCACCAATGGAAGGAGGCTTCAGGGTGCCTGCTTGGTGGTGTTCTCATGTGTTACTGGCTGTGCGTGCATGCAAGATGCATGCTATTTGAGGAAAGATGGCCAGGAGGACTCAGGTCAGGGCAAGACGTTTTGTTTCTGCTCCATCGCCAGCCTGTGCTGCAGAGGACAGGGGCGCTTCCCTGGGGATGCTGTGTGGGTGACGATGTTAGAGTGTGTCACACGCTTGCTAATTTTTGTTAATTGGGGCTTATAGACATTGAAGAAAGACAGATGTTGGTTACGGCTGGAGAAAGCCCAAAGCCGAGCGTTGGCATACATTATACGGTGCATACCCCGCTCTCTAGAAACCAAACGCAGCAGCAGTCCTTTACCAGAATGCTGTCATTCTCCATTTAGCAGGTGCTTCCATTTAACACGTGCATCATGTTAGCTGGTTAAGCCCCTTTGGATTGATCTCACTAGCAGCAACTCAGAGATGAGTTACTATGAGGTTTGCCTTTCTGAAGGGAGCCAACTGTCCTCTGCATGGGGAAGTGTGCCCTGTTGTTCCCAGGCCCCTGCACTGTACCTGCGCCCAAGAAAGCTGCCCAGCCAGGCCCGTTCAGGTCAGGTGCAGCTGAAGTGAGATAATGCTGATTTATGTGCTGTTCACAGGCAGCCGAGGCCGGGGCCGAGGCTACAGGGGGCGTGGAGGCAGAGGTGGAATGAGAGGGCGAGGCATGGGCCGAGGAGGCCGGGGAAGAGGGAGAGGCGACCACCCAGAAGAGGAGGAGGAAATGTACGAGGAAGAGATGGAAGTAAGTACCGGAACCGACCTCTTTCGAGCCTGTCGTCCTCCCTTGGGGCTGGCAGAGGCGAGAGGATGTTCCTATTGGTGGCCCTGACGTGTTGGCTGAGTGCCTGTTCTGTCCCGGCGGACTGATTGCTCTGTTCCCTCTGAACTGCAGTACGGCGACAATGAGGAGCCTGCCGGTGATGACGAGTATGACGATTACTCCAAAGAGCTGAACCAGTACCGGAGGAGCAAAGAGGGCCGAGGCCGAGGTGGGCTGCCGGGCCAGGGGCCTTTGCAGGGGTTCTGGGGCTCTGAGCCCCAGTCTGTGATCGCAGTGCTGGGGTTCCTCTAAGAAGCAACGCGAATGTCCATGTGGTGTTGTGTTTCAGGTTTAAACCGTGGGCGAGGTCGTGGTCCCAGAGGCAGAGGCGGCAAGGGCATGGGCAGGGGGAGAGGAAGAGGCCGGAGCGGAATGGGGAAAGGCGGCGGGATGAACGAGGATGACGATTACTATGAGGACGACACAGGGGTAAGCAGCTCATCTCGGAGGCGGTGTCACCATGTGAGATGCGCTGGGCTTTTCTGTCCAGGTTGGATTCTGATGTTGGGCTCCATGGGCGCTGCCCAGGGCCTCTCTGCACCCAGAGCAATACGTTAAGTCAACACATGCGAAGACAGGTATTTCTCTACCTGCTGGTGCTGCAGACTGCCTCGGGCCATGCTCTGCTGTTGGCCATCACTGGAAGGAAAGAGCCCCCCCTCCCACCTCTGCAGCTCCATTGTCTGTAGCTGAGCTGCATAGACAGCAGACCTGGGGTCTCGATTTCCAGCTCTGGTGATGAGGCGTGGACCAGAACGTAACCTAGCTGGCTTCCCAGGGCTCAGGGGAGCAGAACCAGCAACTGTTGGTCTCACTCCAAAGCGAGCACTGACACACGGCAGGCCGGGGTGCAGATGTGTCGAGGGGGAAGGTGGTGTTTGCACATGACCACTTTTCTCCCGTGTCTGTTAAGAGGCCAGAGGCTGGTGATCACTCAGTCCTCCATTTGGGCAGACCAGCTTCTGGCCAGCCTGATTTCTCTACCATGCTCCTTTCGAGCAGCTTCCCTGCTGGTTTTTGCTGGGGGTAAAAAGTACAGTCAGGCACTGATTGGTGGATACCATGTAGCTCAAAATACAGAAGGCATAGGAGGGGGAGCCCTAACTGGTGGCTGTCACCAAGTGCTGAGCTGACTTTGGCTCCAGCCAGAAAAGATCCTGCATGAAAGAGGATGCTCTCATAGTCTTTCAGGCATGCTCAAGCCTAGGTTTATTGTCTCTGTTTCACGTGGAAATATCAGAATGAGTCTTTCCACGATAACAATCTCATCTGTGATGAGCATGGACTTTCCAAATGCCGATGAGTTGATTGATACACAAGACCAAGGGCAGTTTGTCTACCTAGCCGAGTTACAGAGGCTGTCAGCGTTGGAGTGGCCCGTGCAAGACCCCACAACATTCATTCTTTGAAATTAATTTTGCAAGGAGATAGTTATGTTTTTTTCCACAGCTTCTTGATCTGCTTTTTTGTGTGTGTGATTCCAACAGGAAGGAGGCGGCGGTGGAAATTACAGGCGGAACGACCACGACAAATCCCACCAACAGTCGGATAAGAAAGGAAAAGTGATCTGCAAGTACTTTGTGGAAGGCAGGTGTACCTGGGTAAGGAACAGTTCATGCTGGCCTTGCTTGCCATGTTGCTGCTCATAGAGAACCTGAAACACATGTAAGGCTGTATGAGATGCAGTTACGTGGTCCCACCCTCACAGTTCAGCTGTGTGGACCATGTGTGGCAGGTGATTGCAAACGGGGCTGGGAGAGACGTAGCTGGTTTAGATAGTATATGTAGATGGTCCGAGAGGCATGTTCGGGTTTGTTTCAAACCAGAGAGAAGTCGCAGTGCTACACGGTCCAGGTGTTCACTGATTTTAGCACAGGAGATACAGTGATGAAAGCAGGTGTGTAATGATTGCCATGTATGCTAACAGGCAGTGGCGTGCTGTTTTCCAACAGGGGGACCATTGCAATTTCAGCCATGACATTGAACTACCAAAGAAGCGGGAACTGTGCAAGTTTTACATCACCGGCTACTGTGCGAGGGCTGAGAACTGCCCCTACATGCACGATATCCTTTCCTGGTGTTTCCCTGTGTTTCGGCAGCTGGGGAGGTCACTGCCTTGTTGGCTGTGTTTCGCTGCAGGGTATGGAGTGTCTGGCATGATGGGTCAGAGTGGGTCAGTGGAGCCAGTCCCTGCAGCTGATGGTTATTTTGCTGCTCTTTGGAGCATCTGTGGAAGGTGGGGGGTGCGCCTCAGTGTTCCTGAGTTTGTGAGGGCCAGGCCAGCGAGTGCAGCAGGTGTTTGTGTATGAGGATGTGGAGGCTTGCAGAGATGAATGCAGGCTCGACTCACAGAAGCTTGGAAAGCAGCTGTGGTCCAGAGTGAATGCAGGGGAGTGTGGTCTCACAGCTGCAAGGATGAGAGAGATGTCAGGGAGTTATGTAAACGCAAATGAGGGATCTTGGGCATCTATGCTTTAGAGTCAGTGCCAAAAACACACAGAACTTAAAAGCCTGGTCAGCAAGTGGCCACAGCAAAGCTGCTGGCTCGGTATTAGAAGAAAAAATCTACCTGCCCTTTGAAAGAATTCTGCTTAATTACCCAAGGGGATTTATTCTCTTTAACACCCAGTACGTGACTTCCCTTGTAAGCTGTTTCACACCACGGGGAACTGCATCAACGGGGACGATTGCATGTTTTCTCACGAGCCGCTCACGGATGAAACGCGGGAGCTTCTGGACAAGGTAAAAAGGAAAGTTAGCACAAGCGTGTTTAAAGGTGGCTGTCTTGTTCTGGTTGACTGCTGCCCTCACAAGATGCTCGCACCCATGAAAGGGGTCTGTAACACTAAGGAAAGTGGGTCTGTAAGGGGTTGTGTGCTGGGGCGGGGGTCGTTGTGGGCTACTTCCTAAGGCAAAGAGCCTGTTCCATGTTGGAGCCAGCCAGCCAGCCCATGCCAGTCCCCAAGATGGGGTCCTCTGTGTGTGCTCTGGGCTGGCCCCTCTCCCCAGGCTGTGCCTTGGCCCTGCTCTCACTTCTCTTCTCCCCGCAGATGCTGGCAGATGACGCAGAAGCAGGCGCAGAGGACGAGAAGGAAGTGGAAGAGCTAAAGAAGCAAGGCATCAATCCACTCCCCAAGCCCCCGCCAGGAGTGGGGCTGCTGCCCACCCAGATGCCGCCACCACTGCACGAGCCCCTCTCGCCCCAGCAGCTCCAGCAGCAGCAGGACATGTACAAGAAGATCCCATCGCTGTTCGAGATCGTGGTGCGGCCCACGGGGCAGCTGGCTGAGAAGCTGGGTGTGAGGTGAGTGCATGCCAGGTGCCTGAGGGACGATGCCGGGTGGACCTTTATGGAGCCAGTGGCCAGCGTTCACGTGTTTCTCTGCTGAGGACCTCAGCGTCACTGTCCAGGCAGAAACCCAAACCCCCTTGGAAGCAGGGAGGCTCTTCCTGGGCACGGACAAGCACAGTTTCAGGGTACTTTTCAGGATAGCCAGTACAGAGTTCTTCTGTTGTTTAGTGTCTCTGGGTCAGTTGGGACCTCCTCTCCCAGTGGACAAAGGGACTGGGAATGCGGCAGCTGGCTTATGGCATGAGGCTTATAGCTGTCCCGTTGCCAGGGCCAGCGAAGTCTGGGGTAGTCAGTAGCATGCGGGTTTATCTGTCCTGCCTGGCTGCCACTGCATTGGGCTCATCACACAAGCACGGTTGAGGCTGTCCCCCGCAGGGCCCTGCTCAACCTGGGTTCTTCAGGATGCACCGCTGAGGAGACGGACCAGATCTCAGGATGTGCCCTGACACTTACCGTTTTGTGTGTTCTCTTTCAGGCACCCTGGTCCCCCTCCTCCCAGGTTCCCTGGCCCTGGCGGACCCCCAGGGCCTATGCCAGGACCCATGCATCCAGATATGCACCCCGATATGCTTCCGGACATGCATCCCGACATGCTTCCAGACATGCACCCAGACATGCACCCGGACATGCACCCGGACGTGCCCATGGGCCCAGGCATGAACCCCGGCCCCCCCATGGGTCCTGGCCCTCCCATGATGCCATATGGCCCAGATGGTTCCCCGCACTCCGGCATGATGCCTCCCGGCCCACCTGCACCAGGCTTCTACGATAATTTCTACCCACCTCCGGAGGGCCTGGACATAGACCACGGCATGATGGGTGACCCAGGTACGTGCAGTGACTGTTGGGGGCATCCGGAGCTCCTTTAGGGTGCTGCAGGCTCGGCCTAGCTGAGTGTGTCCTCGTGCTTTGGCATAGCCCCAAGTTGGGGACATCTGCAAAGGCGGGGTCACATGCTTCCCTGAGCTGTTTGGAGGCACACTTTGGCCAGGTGGCTGCAGGGGGGTGAGGGTTGGACAGAGTTTGCATCAGGTAACAGTCATACAACAGCTGGTCCTGAGTCAAGCCTCTCAGCATCGTGTTCCTGCGTCGGCTGTGGGAATGCCCCGGCGCACCATG